GGCTAGTTGGTAGAAAATATATTCTCCTGTTGGGCCCCGCCAGGATATATTTTCTCCCAACTAGCCGTCAATACAATGCGGTAATGCCGTCTCAACCCTGTGTTTAGTTTGTATCACAATTTAACCATTTTTTGATAAAACTTTACTCGGCAAAGAAAAAGCCGAAGAATGTAGACAATTTATCTTCATGCAAACAGAAACTTCAAAAAGCGGTTTCTTTTGTGCACTTTCACTCGCGCAGTGACTCACAAAGCGACTACTTTGAATGATTATAACCAATAACTTGCCTTTCATCACCTACATAAAACCCCCTTTTAAATTAAATAGCTCGTAGACATGAACTAGTGTACACTTAAAGACGTCTGAACTGGAAAAGTTAAGTTTTTGTTTCATCCCAATACATGTACGTCTCGTTCGCCTGTTACAAACACACACACAACTCACTGAAGACTGGGACCTACCTTCCTTATATGGAGGGCAAACAATGGAATGAAATCCAAAATGGCGTTAGTCCATGAGGGAATTCGAGGGCGCATTTCTTGACGTTACCGGCGCACGCTAGGCATTCATTTTACGGCAGTGGAGGTTAACACCACGCCTCGACAGGAGACTCGACATGTTGAGTTGTTTGTGAATGATGAACGGCAAAGGAAAGTCGAAGGACTTCACGACAGAGGAGAATGTAAGCTTAGATAGAACGTTATTGACAGTCGAACTGGTAAGGGCATCACACTGTTGTATCTCTTCATACACAAACTATTGATCGAATAAACGTTAAGCTTGTAGGTTTTTGAAATATCTTGTGAATTCTTTTGAATAGTTTCATTCGGGTTGTGTTGACACTCAGCTTAATTGCTTAAGCTTAATTGTTTTGAAGGTCATCGAAGGGCTGTGTGTACAGTTGTCAGTTCCATTCATTCATAAATACCATACGCTTACCGACAATCAACGAAATATCGTTTCGGGATTGTGATTTTTCGTTTAGCTACGCGAATTTTCGTTTCATTTCTGGTGAAATCTCATCGAAATACCGTTCTTAGATTAGTGAATTTTTGTGTCGCTCAACGAATTTTCTTCGAAATATCGCCCGATAAATCACGATTCTTCGCTCGAAATTTCTACGATATTTCACGGGAACAATAGCCGAATTTCTAGGAAATTCGTTTGCATTCTTTTTGCACAGTACTGTATACTTTACTGGGGTTTGCGACAAATGTCTGAACGTAAAGCGGGACAACAAATGATGGTCATTTGGGGTTTACTGATACCTTAAGATACAAAAATATACAAAAATTAGCCAAATTCAAAATGCAGATGTCAGAATTGAATATAGCAGCTTGCCCAGTTTGAATCTGAGTGGTTCAAAATCTGTTTCAATAAGCCCTTTGTATGATCCAGTCACATGGTATGAAATTAGTTATGCAAGGACTCAAGTTACATAGTGGAACTTTCAAAACAAAGGAAAGTTGGGCTTGTCCCACTGTGTAACTTGCATCCCAGCATGGCTAATTTTGTACCATGTGACGAGATCGTGCAAAGGGTCTATTGGTGCATTCAAAAGATATGACATTTACTGAATTTTGAATGGATGAATGGCAAACTTCCCACCCACATTGTACTTTTCAAGTTTTTCAACAGAGAATATCTTATTAATTTTAATGTTCAATGTGTTCCTCTCAAATTTTCTACAGATTTCATGCTGCAAAGATGCTATCAGTTGATAACATCTATGGTTTCTTGTTTTAATTTGTTTTTTTTTTATGGGCTTGAACCCAAGAGTGCTCCATACTGAGTCAAGCACACTGAACCTCCTATAAAAACTCCCTTAAGCTTATTCATTGTCATCTTCCTTGAAATTCAGGCATTAGTCATGTCATTCTACTTAAATGATCAAACTAAAGTCTTAATGATGGCTGAATTACATGTGGGTATGTAAGGAAATGACAAATTTACTTTATACTCAATCCATAGCTTGCTCATGCGCTGGACCATAAAACTAATCCCTTTTAACCTCACAAGTACACTGTCTATTAACATAAAGTGATATTTTCAACAATACAATACCATAGCCTGCAACTGCTTTGTGGGCATATTACTCACCTCGATTGTTTGATTTGTCTGTTGTTCAGTGTTTTCTGATACATCCATGTTTAATATCTCATTGGGAATGTTTACCTCAACAGAAAGCTATAAAAATAATCAAAATAGCTATGATTATACTTTTACTAGTCGACACACCTCAACCAACAGAGCTATAAATTAATTATGATCAACATTGGACATGATTAACACAAGATATGATTCACCACACATGGCTTTCAAAAAGGGCGTCTCCAAGTTCTCAAAGATTGTGTTGTTGTTCTCCATTCTCCCTTAAATTTGATGTTTGAGTACCTTCCATGCACTTGTACAAGACAGAAGCAGAAGCAACAAAACAGGTTTCACATTGAACAATCGACACAAAACTCTATATCTTCCAGTAAAGGGCCCACAACTTTACTCCAATGAGTATTCCACAGAACTTTGAGGAAATGAACCAGACTAACCCATTGCACCATTGACAAAGCTGGGGTGGGTCAGACATTTACACCAAATGAAAGAGTTGTCTTTGACCATGCAAAAAGAGACCAAAAGGAATGAAAACCTCATCAAAATACACCTACAAAATAAACGGTATGAGATAGGGGTACCTTTAAGCTTTGATATCAGAAAAGAGATCAAGAAAAGTTGTTGCTGAAGTAAAGTTTTCAGAGTTCTTATGGTGCTGCAGCAAGATCTATTGAGAAAAGCCCAAACAATACGATCTTGCGTGGCCCAAAGCTTCAAACAAAAATTAAAGGAGGCTCTGCTCTGTTTTTTTCCCTCCCATTAGATGGTCTCTCATCTGATATATTTATTTAAGTATCCACATATAGAGGCAACTTTTAGTCAGACCAAAGGACAAGTACAGTTGAACACCACATTTTCTCTCTGGGGTGAAGTGGAAAATAGTTTGAAATAGGGGGAGTTCACAATGACTGAAGGGAAAATGGGTGATTCCAGAAAATATCCATATCTATACTATGGATGGTTTTTTGGAATTCTATTGGCAAGAGGGGTTCTTTGAACCCAAAATCCAAAGGCATGGGGTGATACTCACAATGAAAATTCCCAGGGAATGGGGGGAAGGGTTTCTAGAGGGGACAGACAAGTGTGCGAATGCAAAAACAAACTGACGACCACAGAAGGCAAGATACAAGACAAGCATCAATCAATCATGTATGTGTTCACTTTAGTTTACAGAAGAAAACTGATAAAGTCTGAGTTGTACATTAGGCTCCAGATCCTTAAAGTGGACAAATTTCTTGTTGGCAATTGGTGAAGCTAAAGTACAGGTCCCAGGTCACAAAATACAATAATTTTCTTTCAGTTCTTAACATGATCATTGTTGAAAACAAAGAATAATGACAGGCCTACACAGACTCTCCTCATGCATTGTGGTTGTGACACATCAGTTAGCCTTCAATTAGATGAGCATATCTTTAAGAGATTTGGCTCTCTTCCACTATATAATTTGGAGGTTCCATATAGATCGTTTTCACTGTCACACAATATTAAAAAATTAACCGAAAACCATCCCGTAGAAAAAGCTAAGAAATTGTAATGCTATAGAAGATAACTAAATAAGACACTTCTCCAAGTTCTATCCCTGAGTGTTTCCCAAAACTTCAAATATTTGTCAAAATGTTTTGCAGAAATTTATGGAGCCTAGTATGAAAACACCATATTGGTGTAGATCCATGCTAAACCAATATGGCGGCTGGAAAATAGTGTAAACATCTGGAACTTACTTTGGCTATCTAGGTGACTGATTATCAGCACTGAACAAACAAGCATTTACATAGATTACCCACTTTTCGTAATGCTCTAACTTCTAAAAAGGCTCAAAATCATGAGATAAGTATACATATTTCAACAAACTTGTGTCACAAACCTCCATAACCCTTAACTTCAAAATGCTGTAGTTTCCAAGTGAAGCATGCTATAGAGCTATAAAATTGTAAACAGATGTAAATATACCGCCTCCTATGCTAACTTATGCTAATTAGAGAAAAAAATAAGTTTTATGCATATCTTTGCTTTTAGATTCAAGATACACGGACCAAACTTTATACGAAGCTTGCTCTTGATAACATCCAACATATGACTTAAATTGGTTACCATGGCAAGCAGCAATGACATCAGGATTAACTGCCTGCTATTTTGGTGGCAGCTATCTTGGATCTGCCATCTTGGATTTTCGAACTCTCATACCTCTAAAGCAAAAAAGTACATTTTTAATAAACTTTAACTAACAAATGATTACATGCACTGCTCAAGTTGATGAGTTTCTTTTCAGGGTTTGAAATTGCGGAAACACGCCTAGAGTTTGGAGTCTTATGGCTGACATTTTTTTCACTTAGGCCTGGTTTAGATATTCAATGTTACCGGCGAATCAAACACCAATTTGAGTTGCCTTGAACCGAAAAATGCAGCATTTGATTTAGACATCGCATTTTACATGTGCCAAACTGAATTTATGAGCGCAGGAATACAGTGATGGGCATAATAAAGATTAGTTTTTTTCCTCCCAGTGACAAGTTTGTAATGGATATTATTTGGGCAAGGCTAATGCAGAGAATGGTGCACATCTGGATAAAGTGAAACACTTTATTCGTATCTTTGATTTGTTTAGAGAGGTCCTCCACGAGCGCAGTCTAGAGATGGTTAACATCTATGACGACATCCACTCCTGGTACTCTGAAAAGATCAAACCACAAGAGCATGAAGAACAAGGACTTGACGATCTTGGACAATTTATGATAGAGTACCTCAAGCAAGTGGACAACCTGTTACAGCTCACCCATGCTTGGACTGGGAAAGCTACCTGGCAGCATTGGAATGCCTCATAAAGTACTTGTTTGCACACAATCTCCTCAACTATGCTCAGCTAATGCCAGTCCACCTCGCGCAGATGAACGCACTCAAGTATGAGGACCTTATGACATGGCAGGCATTGAAGTCCAGGGATTTTGTTATAGCGAAGTCAGAGATCTCGTTCCCGAGGTTGTTCAGAGATCACACGCTAGAGCAGGAGATCAAAGTATTAAAGCATCACAGTTTTGTGGTCGGGTTAAGTTGAGACAAAGCCACCCTAGACCGCTTTCTTATCATGTCACCACATCTTGCCTGTATGATAAAGCAGTATCTCAACAGCTTTCCTAAAGTATACAAGGCTTCTGAGCAGAACAAGAACTATCAGCTCTCTGGGGATGTTGCTGTAAGAATGCGAGAAAATGTCATGAAACTCCGCCAGTCGATAGAGCTGCACTGTAAAGGCAACCCATTTACAGTTGAGTCTCCCTTGAAGAGTGTGGTGTTGTCAGCTCTTGTGCCAGAAAAAGCAAAGGAAGATATCCTTTGCTCCGCAGAGAAAGGCCAAAAGCATATTGAAGAATTCGCTGAAGACAGACTGTTGCTATCTTCTAAGCACTCCTTATGGGACGCTATGAAAAAGCTGAAACTGAAGACCTTCTCAAAAACTAAAGTTCGTGTAGGGGACAAAGTCATCAAACTATGCAAGGAATGGGGGTTTCTCATAATCCAAGGAAGTAGGCCAGACCTTGTGCCAAGATTCAAGGAAACCATCGGAGGGTATGAGATTGCAGTGGTTCCACATTCCTTATGCACTGTCAATGGATCTCTTTATATTCCAACTGACAAAGCCAGCTGCATAATGCATTTGATAGATGAGGCCAGCCCACAGCCACAATGAGAAACACCACCAGCAACAGGAAATCTACATTGAATACTTGTTACTGATGCCATGGGCTTTGTTCAAGGTAACTATAACAACAACAATGACAACAACAATGATAATAACAATAATAATAATGACAATGATAATGATAATGATAATGATAATGACAATGATAATGATAATAATAGTATGCTGGACAAAACTGTTCTGGATCGGCGTTTTACAACAAAAAAATAAAACAAAAAAAGTGACACATATAATGTTGTGACTGTCTTAAACTTTACTAAATTCCACACATGGAAACTTGCGTTTATGTGGATCAAGCAAGAAAGGCTTGTGTTACACCTTGTCCAAATTTGGCAACTGAGTCACAAAACTTTGCAAAATCACGTGATTTCTGAGAAAAAAGAGTCACATTTAAAGTGTTGTTGTGCAAAGAAACTCTTTATGTGCTGGTGGATTTTTTTGTCAAGATTTTGACAAGAAAGCATGAGAAAGACTTGCAACTGATTTGGGGGAAATATGATACTGTCTTCAGAAAGTACTCTTCTTTGAAGTCTTTAACCTGTTCTTTCCACAAGATCGACCTGTTTTGAAGATGGCTGCCTTTAATTTGCGCTTCGCACAAGCCACAAGTGCATAAAAGACTGCTGTGTTAAAGCATTGTTGGCTGAGAACCTCAGACACTGCTATTTGTGCTTTCAGAAACATTTCCGGACCTGTTTCTGGGCTCATCTGCCAGGAGCTTCCCATTTTCTCGCATTTTCTTGCATAACAGCTTGACATAATTTTGTTAGGTTTGCCTTGTGGCCCTTCAATGGTAGTATCACAACTTGAATCTTCGATTCCCTAAACTGCTGATGTATCACAGGATTATCATACTGTTTAGATGAATTATTGCTCCATCCTCATGCTATCTCGTCGAATTCATGTAAAAAATCCACAAACACGTAACCATTCTCTTTGCACAACAACACTGGTCTAACACTACGATGTTGATATAAACCATGACTTTGCTTTTCTCCGAAATGGCACAATTTTCTGTACTTTTGTGATTCAGCCCGCAAATTTAGATAAGCCATAACACAAGTCTTCCTTGCATGGTCTATATAAAAAATTAACAACTTTCCATGCATGGAATTTAATAAGGTTTAAGACAATCAAAATATTATTTGCATTGCTTTGCTTGTTTTAATTTTTTGTCGTAAAACCTTGATCCAGAACAGTTTTGTCCAGCGTACTTATAATAACAATAACCATAATCATAATGATAATCATAATCAAAAAAAATCATAATCATAATCATAATCATAATCATAATCATAATAGGATTTTGTATAAAATTTGGTATTTATGATTTGTATACAGGTCTGAAAAAAAGCACTATCCTGAAGATTTCTGACCTCCA